AAGAGTCCAGGGATCATATTGATATTGGAGTATCTGCACATCATACAACTTGAGTCGAAACTAAGGCAGATTTATCCAAAAATAAGATGAGCCTATCTTTGGTCCAAATCCACACATAAATAAGGTGGGTTGGAATAGAGAGATTATATTCACACTAGCTAAAAAAGAAGATCATGAATATAAATAAGATTCTAGTCAGGTTCAGGAGTAAATGGGTATATTATATTCACATGCAAATCTCATAATTTTAGGCATGATTCTAGTAATGCAATTTGAAAGTTTTTATGCTTTGAGGGATGTTCCTAGCCTATATATTTTCTATTATTCTTTGGTAAAAGGCAGAATAGAGTTTTCTTTGTCTTTAAGCAATCTTTTAGATTATTTTTCAAGTTCTGTATCTTTTAGGTGGATTTTCTAAAGTGGTGAACTTTTATTGTTCTATATCCTTGATTAGAATTCTTAAGGTGATATTTTTGTATCCCTTAATTTTTAGTCTTGGTGGTAAACTTTTATCCCTTTTAATCCAATAATCATATTCTGTCATTATTCAAATCTTTGTGAGTTGTTTTATTTATAAGTTGCAGTTAATTTTCACATTTAAAATATTAATTTTTGGTATCAAATTGGTATCAAAGCTATGACAGGTCATCGTCATCTAGCACCAACAGAAGAGGTTGAAGCCAACATCGATGTTATAGTAACTACCAATATTGACTCAAAGAATGCCTTCATAGAAGAGGTGCAGTAATAGATCCTTCAACTACAATATCGACTACATATAAAAAAAAAAAAAGAGACAAAGAGGCAACAAAGAAGAAACGAAGAAGATGAAGGAGAAACCAATCTATTCTATGGAAACAACAGTGATTCTGATGATAACACCCTATCTCACCCACGGTAAGTTAGAGACTATTTACACAGAAACCAGCTTTATCCTAGCATATTCAATATGAAGATAAAAGTTCTTGAGTTCGAGGAAAAGATGCAACATGAAGAATTCTTAAATTGACTACACATGGTAAAACGCATATTTGAATACCATGATATCCCTGAACATCGCAAAGTGAAGCTAGTGGCCATCAAACTTAGAAAACATGCATCCTTTTGGTGGAAAAATCTGAAGAAGCAAAGGAAAAGAGAAGGTAGGAGAAAATTTGTAACTTAGGAAAATATGAAAAGATAGTTGAAGAGGAAGTATCTCCTAAACAATTTTTGGCAAGACGTCTTCCTTAGGCTCTATAACTTGAAGCAAAGGGATTTTTCAATGGAAGAATACATTAACAAGGGAAGCATGCCCAAGATCAGTGTTTCTACCAAACTCCCTTAAAATCTACCTATAAAGAAAGAATAAGCCATTCCTAACAAATCATAATCTAGTGCTATCAACACTCAAACCTAAAGAGACTTCAAGTGCCAAGAAATTGGGCATATATATTATGAGAGTCCAAATCTCAAAATAATTTTGTTGGTTGAAGATGAAGATCTTAAAGAGACTGAAGAAGAACCTATTGAAGTACCCTATGATCTTGAAAAAGATATTAAGGAGACCTATAGTGATCTTGAATCCTCATTTGTTATACAATACAGCTTGAGTGATGTGCATGTAAAGAAAGAAGAATGGTTGCACAAGAATAAATTTCACATTAAAAGCACTGCTTATAATAAGGTATGTGATGTTATAATTGATAGTGAAAGTTTTAAAAACATTATTTCTACTTTTATGATGCAAAAATTAGGCCTTAAAATAATGGATCATCTCCAACCATATAAGTTGTCTTAGCTGCAAAAAGAAAATGAAATCAAGGTTAACAAGAGGTGTTTGAATCATTTTTCCATAAGAAAGAATATCAAGCAATGAAATCATGTTTTACCTCAAATAGAGTTTACCTACAATCGCTCACTAAATCAAACCACTAGTTACAGCTTTTTTGAGCTGATATATGGTAATAATCCAATCAATCCTCTAGATTTAATTCCTCTCCCTACTAATCAACAATTTAGTGGAGAAAAAATGGCTAAGGGTATCAAATGATGCATGAACAAGTCAAAATTGGAACTTTACAGCAAAATGAGAAATATAAAAGGGTAATAATCATACATCTAAATATGTGAAGTTCAAAAAACATGATTTGGTGTGGATTAACTTGCGAAAAGAAAGATTTCCTCCAGGGGAGTTTGGCAAATTACAACCTAAGCAGATGGTCCGTTTAGAATCCTCCAATGTATTGGGAAAAATGCCTACAAGATAGAGCTTCCGACACTTATGAAGTATCTTCTATATTCAATGTTATTGATTTATCACCCTACCATGATGAGAATACTAGTTCAGACTTAAGGACAAGTCTTTTCCAACCAGAGGAGATTGACACCGGAGTATTTGCACATCATACAACTTGGGTTGAGACTAGGATAGACTTATCCAAAAATAAAATAGGCTTATCCTTAGTCTAAATCCACATATAAATAAGATGGGCTATAATAGAGAGATTGCATTCACACTAGCTAGAAAAGAAGATCATGAAATGAATGGGATTGTGGTCAGGTTCAAGAGTAAATGGGTAGATTATGTTTACATACAAATCTTATGATTTTAGAAATGATTCTAGCAATGCAAACTAAAAGTTTTCATGCTTTGAGAGATGTTCCTAACCTATATATTTTTTATTATTTTTTGGTAAAAGATAAAATATAGTTTTTTTTGTCCTTAAACAATTTTTTAGATTGTTCGTCAAGTTCTATATATCTTAGGTGAATTTTCTAAAGTGGTAAACTTTTATTATTCTGTATCCTTGATTAAAATTCTTAGAGTGGTGTTTCAGTATCCCTTAGTTCTTAATCTTGGTGACAAACTTTTATCCCTTTTAATCCAATAATCATATTCTGTCATTATTTAAATCCTTGTAAGTTATTTTCTTTGTAAGTTTTTTTATTTGCAGTTAATTTTCACATCTCAAACATCAATTCCCAGCATCAATTTTCACATAAGAAGTTTGGCAAATGATTCTTCAATTATGTAGGATCAATAGAGGAGTAGAGAATTGGACTATAGAACTAAGTTGGGCAATAAGAAAATTAAAGGGGAGAGCACTGATCTTTATCGTATTGCGCAAAGCATGGAATACTTGTGTATATCAAATATAAGGGGAAAAGAATCACAGGCTATTTAAGCATATGGCAGAAACTCCAACACAAGTGGTGGATCATGTCATGGATGCTGTTAGGAGTAGATTATATGGGCTAAGCGAGATTGTTGTAGCTATGGTAAACAGAGACTTATGTGATACTTGAAATCTTAATACCGCTATCTTAGAATAGATTGCTATAAAATGATATTCTTTTATTCTATGTAAAGATTGTGAAACTGTTGAGTTGTAACATAATTTTTCTAGCTTTGGATAAAAAAAATTACGAATTATCCAAAAAAAATAATGTACTAATTAAATGAATTCTTAGCTAGTTCAGAGAATTTGTAATACATTATAATCCTTTTATCCAAATTGCCTCATGTGAAAAGGATGGTTGTGGATAGAAGATGTATATATCAATTTTATCATGTGTTTTTGTGAGTAAATGTGAGTGTGAGCAAGCAAAAATACCCACCCATCCTGTCAAAATCTAGGACTACGACACAAATTGGCAAGCTGAGAGAGTTGATCAAGCAGCCAATACCCAACAGCACATAGGGTCAAAAGTGGAAATAAAATTACTCAATGGAGAGACTTGCGGCTTGACTAATGACATTCAAGCTTGTGAAACAAACTAAAAGGGACCAACAACAAGGGCCAGTTGGAGATAACCCGATTGTTAGGGCCAATCATCAAAGACATTTTTTGCATAGATAAAAAAACCCAGATTTTCCTTTTGTTTTTCTCTCCATTTCTACTGAAAAGTTCAAAAATTTTAATGGATAGACTACTTTGAACCTTGCGTCTTTCATTGTTTCTGGGCCGAACTTGAACTTAAATCTAAATCTGTAATCGGGCCTATTAAAGACAGAAAGTGAAAAAGGGGCATGGACAACGACCCATGATCAGCTTGGAGTGATTGAGCCCAGATTCTTATAAATTGCAAAGATTTCCTTTTCAATTTGCAATCTTTGAAAACTTTATAATAAATCAAAAGCCTTTATTTCCCAATTTTGGGTGTAGAAAATTACATTCGAAATCTTAACAGCCAATCAAGGATGGCACTGAAAAAGAAAATACCATTTGAGAATGGACTTTTGACAATAGAAAAAGATTTTGTTCATCTTTTACTTCTTTTTAAAGGTCATTTCAACTGCATGGATCACAAAATGAGAATCTGAAAACAAATGGAACTTAAAACCAACAGCCAACGCCGTCAAACCATGGGCCCTCAAAATATCCCAAGCAATCTATAAAATTTGGATGGATGGAACGAATTGTTCCAAAAATTTTGATGCTTAATTTGAGAGCCCAATAAAAGGGTGAGTTTGAATTCATTTTCCTGCAAAAAGGCAAAACTCCATGAAGCATCCTACCCTGCCTTTTTACATTGTTTTGTCTTTTGCTAGAACCACTCCCCCCCCTTTCTCTCTCTCTCTCTCTCTCTCTCTTGGGCTTTGTTGTCTAGTTGTGTTGGGCTGTCCGCCCACCACCTTCCATCAAAAGCAAATTTGGTTTCATCTTGCCCCGGATGGACCACCGCGCCTAATTTGTCCATTTTTACCCTCATTCTATTCCTTCAATTTCACTTAGCTACTTGGTGACACCAGATTTTGGACTCTCTAGTGAAAGATACCCCCTCTCGGATTGCTTGCTGACAGCTAGTATTACTTATTATTTATTTATTTTTAAACATCTGTGATATTTTCGAACTTTGTCCAATTTATTTTTTTCAGACGATTTTAAATATGCATTTTTTTCACATCTTATTGTCTTATTTACTATTTCTTACTGCTTGTTCAGAATTGAAATTTGCTAAAATGGTTAAAGTAGTAGTTTCCAAATAAAATATTAGAAACCAATTTCCATTAGCATGTATGGGATTTTCATGCAGACATGACAAAAATGGTAAAATTTTGATTTATGTATGATTAAGCATATATTGGAAATAAACCGAAAAAATTCACAACCAAGGGTCACCCTGGTTCATTTTTTGGAGTTATTGTAAAATCAGGCTGGCCCATTAAATGGAAAACTATGTCCAACAATCCTTGATTAAGAACAAACTTGTTTTTTTCTGAACTTATTTTGTTCCAAAATTACCACTAAAGAGAAGTTGGAAACGCACTACAACTTCCAAATTCCAATCCAAGAACATAAATTTTTTGGACCCCTCAATTCAAAATCCTGCTTGAGCTCACTCGCTACTGAGTTGACTCAACTACGTCTACTCAGCCGAATCATTGCCCAAGTATAAAAAATATTTATATGTAGTCGCATTTTAATCAATTATAATCAAGCTGGTTTTATCTCTTTTTCAAGTGGCTAACAAATTGGTTAACCATCGAACCCGGTTTGACTCCATACTGCATCCCTGACCCGCCTCATGTCCCGGCCCTTTAGGGTCCGACCCACGCCTTCAAAAACTGAAGCCCCACCCGATTTCTTACTCCGAGCGTATGCACGCGCCAAGTACTCGTGTGGAGGTACCATCTCCGACTCAACATCATCTAATCCATCATCCGAATCATGCAGCGACTCCACCGAGTCGACCCTGTATATCTTAGTCCAGTCAGGTACGTTCACCGGCGCTGATGTGGCTATATGGTGCCCACGTGGCGAAGCTGGGGCAGCCACGCCATCGTGGCCACGAAACTGGTGCACGATCCTAGGCTTCGTCGAGGAAGAATCCTCGAAAGCCAATGAAAGCCCGCCCACGTGGCGGTCACCCCGGGGATTTCGGCGACCCCTCATGTCGGAGTTCCCATAGCCATTGATCTCAGCCTCAGCACGTGGACTCCATTCGCTTTGAGAATTATTGATACTTGGGTCGTCTCGGTCCGCGACGTTATCAACCATCGACCAAACATCTTCCTCCCCAAGTTCCGCTTCGTCCGTGACAGTGTCCCCTTGGCCTTGACCGTAACCGTAACTTCCTAAAAACCGTTCGCTTCTGCTGGTGGTCAACCGCCGGCCTTTCGCCATGAAACAATCAAATATACAATTCAATACCAAAAACAAAAACAAAAACAAAACAAAAAGGACAAAGAAAATTAAAAATCTAATCTAAAGAGAGAATCAATAAAAGGGATGGATTTGAATATTAATTGGAGTCCCTCAGAGAAGAGACTCAAACATAAGGAGACATCGAAGGGCAAGGTATGTATATATAGGCACTTGGGGAAAGGAAAAATGGAAGCCATTTTTCATTTCATGTGAATTTGGACTTCATTTTGTCTTCATTTAATCTCCCCACTCCCCCAACCTCCAATCAGATTCACGGTGAGAAATAGAAGACGCCAAGACTGGCCCGAAAATGTAAAAACCAATAAGACTATGAATTGAAAACCAACAAGAAGTAAATAAAAGAAGAGAAGAAGTGCGATCACGCGCTGTTTTGAATGAGCGTGTAAACACCCCACCTGGTGGTTGGGGGAAATCTTGGAAGTAAACGACGATAACCAAATTTAGATTTATCCTTTATAAATAATTTCACGGTTCAATTTTTTTTGTGTTTTTTTTTTACTAATCTCTGGCCTTTTTTACTTTAGAAAAATAAATCACTTAAAAAATAAATGTAAAACATTTTCATGGACAAAAAAATCCAAGTTGTATTTTATATATAACAATTTGTTTGAATAAATATTACTCATTTAACAATTTGCATTTTTTTAAACTTAAAATAATAGGCGTTTGTTGGCACGCATTTTGATGCATAAAGATTAAAATGACGTTGATTATATATATCCACGTCAGATTTCATTATCTACTAGTGGAGCCCACCTATAAAACCTATATTGTTTGACTATGTCAATTCCATCCAAAGCGGTCCCGCTCTCCACGTGGGTGCTCACACTACTACTCCCTCTCAGACACTCTCCATTGGTCCTTTGATCCTCCAACACGTGTACTATCATCCACCTAAAACGGTCCCACCAATCAATCCACGTCATGCCACGTGGCCAAACTTGACGGCCTAAAGTTTTTTACACCAAAAATGTTTGAGATGTCGTGGGAGGAGAAAGGGAGGCTCAGGCTAATGATAGTGACGATAAATTGACCTTTCTCTGACCCAAAAAAGAAAAAAAAAAGCCTTCCATAATTGATGGTTCAGGGGATGTAAACAAGTTTTATTATTATTTTTTTAATTTGGGTGGTTTAGAGTTTAAATTAATCCCACTTGTGGGTGAGGGATGGTTAAGAAAAGCAGAGTGTCTTGGTGATGGGCACATTGGACGGTTGAGAATAAAATGGGTGGGGGCCAATTTGTGTGTCCTACAATTTGTCGTTTTGGTCAAAGTTTAAACAATAAAAACCTTATCACCATTTCACCTGCATAAAATAAACGTCTCTAATCACAATCACAAGCTCCGGATGAGCCTGTTTTGCCCAAGCTTCATCGTTTACTTCATTACTTTATATGTTGGTTATGATTAGAGTTATACTCTTTGTCCGAGTTATGATCTCACAGACTCGATTTTGTGAAAGTTATCATCATCGTAAAATCGCTTTGCTCTTAGCTGATTAATCATAAACTCCTTGAAAGATCTACAATTACCTAAGACTTAGAAAAGAATATGTAATTGAGGAATCAAAATAGTTAGTCAATTATTGTTAAGGCATGCTATTATTGAGGACCCTAGGTCACAAGTCTTTCTCCTTGTATTAGCGTTACAGTGAAAGAGTGGACAGTGGGTGGGACCTCGGTTTGCAGTGAGCGGACCTGCCCCTGGACCCATATTCACTAGTTGGGTTTCGGCAGAATGTGCACCCTGACCCAGCTCTGGCAAGAACTGGATCCATCATTGTTAATCAGAATCCTATGCTTGGTTAGCTTTGTTAATCGGGCGGTTAAATTCAAAACTTTGGGTCCGTATAGGATCCAGGTATCTGCATTTTTTCTTTTGCAATTGGATAATCATTGCATGGGGTTAAAAAGGGGTATCCAATTTCTACTTATTGTCTCCCTACTATTGTTATTAAATGTGCACAGTGATCAGAATAATTAACTTGAAAATTACATAAAACGCATTGAATTTACCTTTTTTTTTTTTTCTTAAAGTACAAGAGTTAGTATGTCTTTTGGTAAATAAGAACTAAAATCGCAATCTAGCTGGTCTCCCATCGGGTTGTTCCTCTAATACATGAAAAATGCTGAGCCAAATTTACTAAAAAGATGAAGCAACCCTGCCCATTTAACCCATCTCGACTCGCGGCGTTGTACAGTAATATAAGTTTTTGGAGCCAGCATGACTTAGCAAACTCAACTGGTTGAATTTAACTTCAAACAATGTCGTATGATCACTTAAAAATTAGGACTCTTCTATTTGAATATTTGTTTTCATTTTGTTATTTAAGGTCGTGAGAGGCAGAATACGGATCATCAAAATTTAAAGTTTAATAGTCTACTAATAATTCATTGACATTTAAAAATTCTAGAGAGGAAACAAAGTGGAAGTTATTAGATGTATCAAAACCGCCCCCCCTAACTCCCCGCATGTCGCACCACTCTTGTCCTTGTACACCAAAACATGACAGCCCAAAACACTTACCATAATCAGGAAAAGCAGATTATGCCATGCATTTGGGATCTCTCTCTCTCTCTCTAGATGAATATATAGCGTTCCATAGACTCGGGCGCCAAAGACAAGATATGGGTCCTGCGTCATTTTTTGGGCAGAATCTCACCTGCTGCACTTGCCACAACTCACCTCTACCGCCACAACGACCACCATCTCCCTCTCCTCAACAAATCCAAAAAGCCTGCATTTATGATTTCAATGCATGTGATACTGCGGTTTACAAGTGTACGCTTTTTATATTGGAGAGACAGAAAGATCAGAACTTTTGGTATTCTCTTGATTTCTGTGTACGATTGGATGGCTGTATATATTCTATAATGCATGCCCCGGTTAGATAAGTTGGATCAGATCTTTAGTAATGATTGTTCTGCTGAGTGGGTTGGAATAAGAGGGATTAGTTTGAGTTTAATAAGTGTGAAGACTGACAAAGTCGCGCAGTTTGTGTGATTAGTTTAAGAAAGTGATGTACTAGCGAAGAATCAGCAAAGTTTTGCTGGGGGCTACGTCGGGAAGTGATGCTTAGACCTTACAGTTGTCAGCCAGCCAATGAAACGAGATTCTTGCACGAGCTACTCCATCAAATGTTGCAGGGTAGTGGGCTCCATTGTTAGTAGAACTAAAGTTACATGGCCACGTCTCAAAAACAGCGAGTGCAAGAACAATTTCCATTGTAAAAACTTGCATGAAAATAAAAAGAGAGTGTTGCTGTTGAGCGTCGGCTAATTAACTCTCCCGTTTTATCAAACACATGGACGTTCCTATGAAGATTGAAGACTAAACAGTAAAAACTAAGATACCATCACATCCAAATTTACTCAATTGTCCAAATATAGTTCCTGTTTCTGAAGGGTGTGATAACTTTACATGACCAAACCTCTAATGAAATGGAAATGCGTACCTGTATAAATTTCTCTACATGGCAACGCTAGTCTGGCATGCACTAAAAATATCTTGGTGCCAAATAACTGACAAAATTTTCACTTTACTAGAGGGAGCTGGTCATCAATATGAAGGACAAGAATGATGAAAAAGGATACGATCAAAGAAGGGATCGAGTCCAATAACAATAAAATGCAAGTTGAGAACCGTTTCACTGTAGATGGTGGATGGGATTCTATCTCTATGCATGGCAGATTGAACAGCAATAAATCACCAACTGTGGACTGTTCCCTATTCAGAATTGTTACTTTCAGGTTGGCCCCTGCCTCTCGTTTAAGATATGCATGTGCCCACTCGTCTCAATATCTCATCTCCTTGAGGAATTGGTGGTGCCACCGTGCCATAATAAGGGCTTGCTACCCTTCAATGCTGCAGTGATATTATTTACTCTCTGCCATCAAATTCCTCCACTATATCTTATTCTCCTGCGTTCAATTACTATATTAATTCTATTCTTTTCGAAACTTCGGTTTATTGACATTCAACAGTGAAAGCTGGTGAGGTTGTAAAAATAAAATAAATTAAATTATCTTGATTTTAATATGGCTAGTGAGAATGGTTGACATACTAGCCCCCTATTCTATGCAAAACTAGCTAGAATTGAGGGATCTAGATGGACCAGCAGCAGCAGCAAGCAATTTCCTAGGCCTGGATTTAAATGAGTGGCATAGCTCACTCAGCGTGTACAGTTGTTCACTTGTTCTTATATTTCTTACACTGACACCACCTGCTTTTACTGTAGCCTGAGATCATGTGGAAATAGCGGTTGTTATTTGAGGGATTGGAATCCTTAGATTTCACAATCTTTCTTTTTCCTTTTTCTTTTTCTCGGGCTAGAAGAGGGGGAGAGGGTGATCAATAATTTCAATGTGAAAGTTGCACTTCAAAATTTTCTTTCCTATTGTATTACAGTGTCCAAAAAATAGTATTCAAGCACATTCATACATCGGCAATATACCAGGATAAAGGCATCTAGAAAAAGAGTTTGCAACTGCATTAACATGCATGGACATGGTTAAGATTAATTTCAAATAAATAGGGCTAATATACAGGGCTTTATTACTATTACTACTACTACCACCACCACCACCACCACCACCACCACCACCATAATATATAACCAATTAGTACGGTCGAATGCAGCTATCTTCCATATATTTTCCCAGCCAACCTGATGGCAAATCCCGGAATATCTGTATTGAAAAAAATTTCAGGTATTCATTACTAAAACAATCTTTTGTATGCACCAAAGTACTTTGATTCCGATATTTCTTCAGCAGCACATTTAGTTAGTACCATTTGCAATAGTTTTTCATCCTTCTGTAACATTTAATATGATATTCTTCTTTCATAGAAAACATAAGCATTTACAATATTTTTACTACTTGAAAAGAATCTTCTTGTTAAAAAAATAATAAAAGAAAAACATCTTTTTCCTTCTGATACAAGGATTCCTATATAGTTGTGTAATTTATTCAAACAAGGAACCAATCTCAATCAATCTGCTATTATAAAATATGAAATGGCAAGAACCTTACCATTCCACAACATGAAGGGATCGTCTTGTTTGACCATGTTGCCGTTTCTAACTGATCATCAAGGACCTTTCATATAATTGCCGTTCCTTTTTATTGCTTTCCTATATAATTAAGACAGTTAAAAACTTTACATAAATGAACATGAATTATTGAATAATTAATCAAAAATAGTTCTAAAGTTCTGGAGATTGAACCCATGTGTCTATAACTGAATATTTTGGGTAATTACAAGCTACTACCTTTAATTAGTGTCTTTCCATGTATTTGAAAGGTCTCAAACAACATTCAGATGGGCATAAAGTCACTTTCAAATTATGTTATTACAACTGATAATTGTCTGAATTAACTGTTACTCTTGGTGCCAATTATAATGACAGT